TAGGGAAAAACAAACCTCACCTGTTTGGCTTTCAAAGGTTTTCCTTCTAAACTCTTTTCTCAAAGGTTTACAGAGAAAATGAGGCTCCTTTCACATGCGATCTTAAACTGACTTTACTTTTGTCTTAGGGCTCAAGCTAAGCTGCAAACTTAGCTTGACTCCAATATATGGTGGCTCAACATAAGAATTTGTTTCCTAGACACTGAGTGCCAGCACCTTGAGCTCATTCTTCCCAGCTTCCAGAACTGTGAGAAAAAAATTTCTGTTGTTTATAACTTACCCAGTCTGTGGTATTTTGTTACAGCAGCCCAAATGGACTAAGACACCTGACATGGGTTTGGGCAAAACAGACAGGCAGACACACACACACACACACACACACACACACACACACACGATCACCTGAACTAAAATTAGGATTGGTACTCAGGGCAAACCAGCTTCAGTACTCTTTGAGCTGGTAGCTCAAGTTTCCTTAGATTTTTGCCTCGTAATTCTGGGCTATTTTTTTCAGATCTTTGATAAAGATTTTTTGGTGTAAGTTTTATTTTTTAAATGTGTTTTTATTGGAAGGGTTGCTCTGGCTTATCTTCTTCTGAAATCCTGTTTTTTTCCCTAATTTCTTAAGATCAGTATTAAGACTGTGTATGTGTGTGTCTTTTTTAAGTTAGGAAGGTATTTAAAGATATAAAATATGGGAAATGGGTACTTAAAAACTGTTAGAAGGGTAACAGGAGCTGGCTCTCCAGAAATGCCTTCCAGAACGTGGCAACACTGAATCTTTGGAAGATGTGCTACCTCAGCCACAGCCAGGATGTAGAGACGCAGGAGCTGCCACTAGGACCACCACCTGCAAGTACACACTGCCTTAGCTATGATCTGGGATCAGAAAGTAAGGCAATGAAACCACCACCACTGCTGCCACACGTACTTGGAAACTGGAGTGAAGAGGCCAGCAACCACCTTTTGATAGCCAAAGCAGCAGAAAATGTTGCTTCTATCATATGAATTTCACACAAGTCCACCTAAAGGGTGGAAATTTAGTTCCCTTCAGAGTCCTCAGTGCCAGGAGCTGGAAAATTACTTTCCCAGCCTAAGTAGAGGAAGGCCAACTAGGAGGTGGGAATGGATACTGAATGCCAGTTGACAAAACTAACTACAGTCACTGTACTTTCAACTGCTAGAATTTCTATTTAGTTCTTTGTCAGTGTCCTTTGCTTGGTTTGTTTTCCTTTCAGCAGTTAAGATTTTTGTTTCTTCCTTGATCTCTTGATGCATTTTAAGCCATACTTATGTTCTCTCTCAATATATGCTGCTCTCTTTTTCTTGCTCCCTGTTTGGGCTTGTGCACTGCTCCTTGGCCAAGGGCACCCAACCTCATCCTGCGTGCTGCTCTGATGAGGTTGTGTCTGGTTCTTGCAGCCAGGGGGGCAGCTCTTCCAGGTCAGAGCCCACCTAGTATGCCATCAGTGTTTCAGGCATGCATTGCTGATTGGCTGGATCCTTCCGGCTAAAGCAGGAACTCTGGGGATTTTGGAGAACAGGAACTGCGTAGTCACATTTGGGAGCTGTAGGGAACACTTACTTTTTTCATAAGCATTATTTTCAGTTTAAAACTATGTCTACTAAAGAAGCTCTAACTGACACCAGGGACTAAAGCATCTCTTCTTTTTCATTATTTTTCAGATCAGGTATCCCAATGGGAGAAAATGGAAAAATTTATAAACAAAGATCCCGAGAACCCCAGTTTCCAAGATGACTGGGAATGTGAAGGCACATTTGAAACATATCACAGAAATGAGGAAGGAAGTTCCAGTCAAGTCATAATCACTCATGAAGAAATACCTGCTTTGAGACAGCAAACATCCCATAACCTGCTTCATAACATTCCACCTGGAAGTAGACCCTATGTGTGTAATGAATGTAGAAAAGGTTTTTGGCAGAAGAAATGTCTTCTTAGCCATCAGAAAATTCATACTGGTGAGAAATCTTATGAATGTCAGCAATGTGGGAAGGCTTTCCATCGCCGTTCCTATCTTCCTCAACATCAGAGAACTCATAGTGGGGAAAGACCCTATGAATGTACAGAATGTGGAAAGGCCTTTGGTTCTGTCTCACTCTTTACCAGACATCAGAGAATTCATACTGGTGAGAAACCCTATGAATGTAAGGATTGTGGAAAAACCTTTGTTCGGCTCTCACAACTTAACGTACATCACAGAACTCATACTGGTGAAAAACCCTATCAATGTACCGAATGTGGAAAAGCTTTCAGTTACTTATCACTGATTATTAAACATCAGAGAATTCATACTGGAGAAAAGCCCTATGTCTGTAAGGAATGTGGAAAGGCCTTTAGAGGTATCACCCAACTTAATGAACATCAAAGAATCCATACTGGTGAGAAGCCATATAAATGTAATGAATGTGGAAAGGCCTTTGGCCATCGTTCATATCTTCCTCAACATCAGAGGATCCATACTGGTAAGAAACCTTACAAATGTAAGGTTTGTGGGAAAGCCTTTAGGCAGGGCTCACAGCTTAACCACCACCAAAGAATTCATACTGGTGAGAAACCCTATAAATGTAATGAATGTGGGAAGGCCTTTAGGCAGGGCTCACAGCTTAAACAACACCAGATAATTCACACCGGTGAGAAGCCTTATGAATGCAAGGAATGTGGGAAAGCCTTTAGTCAGTGCTCACAACTTACTCGACATAAGAAAATTCATTCCTAATGTATGTAAGAAATGTGGGAAGGCTTTCGGGCACTCTCATCTTCCTCAACTTTAAGGAATTCATGCTATGGAAAATCCCCATAAATAAGTGAAGCAAAGACTTCACTGGTCTCATCCTTCAAGGAACATCAGATAATTATGTACAACCTTGTGAAATGTGGAAACGCTTTTTGGTTCAACTCATGTTATGTGGAAACGCTTTTTGGTTCAACTCATGTTACATTCATCAGCAGATTCATCACCATCACATTCAACATTAAAGACCATATTAATATGATAATGTAGCAAAGCTTCCCAACACTACCTATCAATCATTAGTAATTGGAAAATTCATGCTGGCTAGCAACCATTAAAGTAGAGAAATTTTGGAAACCCTTTAGTTTAAGCTAATTCTAACTTACATAAAGAAAGCAAAAGAGAAAGTAATCCTGTGAATGTCAGGTATGTGGGAAGTTCTTTAGCCATAAGTCTCTTATGGCTAAAGAAAATTCATATTTGAAGAATGTAAGTTTAAAAAAAAACCCCATTCATCATTCATTGTGCATCAGAAAATACACAGTGAATAAAACACCACACATTTTAAAACAACAGTTAAACATTTAACTATCAAGTTGAGGAAGGTGTGGAGAAGTTTGTAACCAATCATATAGGGCTATAGCTCAGGTAAAAATGTAATGTTAGACATTGACAAAATATTTATGTTACATACTACATAATATTTTCTCCTTCAGTGAAACAGTGAGAGCAGGATGAAGTGAATGAGCAGTATAAAACAAAACCCGTGAGATGTGACTATATCTATACTCAAAGTTACTACTTTAAATGCATTTATAGATAAGAAAACTACAAACAATGTAAATAATAAGTGAACCAGAGACCTCGAGAAGGTAGAAAATGAACATAACTCACCAACAGACAGAATTAAGAAAAAAAATTAATTGAAATTTACACAGAGAAGTAGGTTTTATTAACCTTGAAGCCTTTTCTTTAAAAAGAAAATATAAGCACTTATAAATTTCGTAAAAGTATGCTATAGTATTGTTAAAAACGAGGATGTAAACAAGCAAACAAAAAAGGATGTACTAACACACATAAAGAGTATTCAAAAATAAGATTGAATGCTTTACATTTTTGATACTAATAAATTTCAAATTTAGATATACTTCACTTCCTATAAAGAAAAACCTAAGTTTTCCAGAGTTGACTGAATATTAGAAAAGGACAGATTTTATAGGGAATCCACTTAAGTGTTTTTTTTTTTAAACTGTAGTATCATCAGTTGTTAAGAGCAAAGATTTACCAAACTATAAGTGTATAGAAAATATCTATGATACAAATTTCCAAGTTTGAAAACATGCAGATTTCATCAGCTCCTTTTCTGAATCTTGCATAATTTCAATATATAAACAGAAACCAAGATTTGCAGATGTCCTCAACCTCCCAAATTACAAAAAAAATGTTGGGTACCTATGAGAGCCAGGTACTTTTCTACATGTTAATTGTGAATTTAAAAAGTCATAAGAACTAGCATATTAATACATCTTAGTTTTTTCTCTTTAAAATGGAAATAGTTTTAAACCAGTAATATATTCATTAGTATTTTTTAAACTAGAAGATTACTTTTCAGGAATTTAGAAGAACGTATCTATTTCCAAGTTTGATTATCCTTCCACAGTTTACACAGATTAACTAAAAGGAAAATATTTAAAAATTACTTGATCCTTGCATTGAAGAATGGTATGATGACATAGGTAGAATCAGAATGTGATACTTAAAAATAATTATTAACCACAAAAAATAAGAACAACTTAGAATCACCTGGACATATGCATTTTCTTTAGAAAATGTGGAATGTCTTCTTTTACTCAGCCTTCTTTAAAATGGAAATTTAAAAAAATGAGTAGAAAGCTACATTTCTCAATTTTTTCATAACATACAAATGTTTGTAAAGGCTGTCCTTGGAAGAGAATTGAACAAAACTTTAGCTAAGCAAGTTTAACCTATGTCTCAAGAAGACCAGTTCTAACTATGTCTTCCTCTATATCCAAATGACAACATTACTTTTGAGGTTTCCTTCAGTCAAGTATAAAAAGAAAGATTTCATAATATCAGTGTTTTGCTTTATTTTTAATGTTTGTATTTAAGCATCTCTGAAATCTTTAAGCATGAATCTTGAAAGAACTGCTTGCAGTCCTAAAATGTATTATTTTGTTTTTGCTTTGTAGGAAATAATGTTAATAGTCCTTGAAATATATGCTTCTTAAATTCCTCTGTTACATCGTGAACGACATCAATATAATTTTTCTTCTTTTTGCTTTAGTCTTCCAACCATATATATTCTGTGAAAATTTCTAAACAGAGAGAAAGCAATATTCTCTATTTCCAACTTTTGTTAGGATTTAGGATAATTGACAAGATCAGAATGAAGTCATTACAGCAATCAGTTATTACTGTTTCAGTTATTCTTGATCTGTGACAACTGTTCTTCCTCACTATACCAACAGAATGTTTAAGTGGCTATAATAAAATCAGTCAATTGCATATTCAAATCTGTGGCCCATTTAAAGTTGATTTGTTTGCTTTCTTTTGAGCTTTGAGTGCTCTTTATATATTCCAGATCAAATCCCTTTTCACATTTGTGAAATGCAAATTTTTTCTAGGCTGTTTTCTTCTCATCTTAGGGGTATGTTCTGAGGAGTAGAAATTCTTAATTTTTGATGAGGTCATTATTTATCATTTTTATCTTTTATGAATTGTGTTTTTGGTGTCATATCAAAAGAAACCTTTGCCTAACCTAAAGCCACAAATATTTTCTCCTAAAAGTTTTGTAGTTTTAGGTTTTACATTTAGCTCTATCATATTTTTGAGTCAATTTTTGTGTACGCTGCAAGAGATGGATCAAAGTTGGTTGGGTTTTTTTTTTTTTGCATAGAGATATCCAGTTGTTCCAGCATCAATTGATAAAACACTTTCCATTCTCCACTGGATTGCCTTTGCTTCTTTTTCAAAAAAAAAATCAATTGACCATATATGTACAGGTTTATTTCTGGACTCTAGTTTGTTCCATTAACATTTTCCTGTCTTTATGCCTATACTCTATTGATGACTGTAGCTTTATGAGTCCTGAAGTCAGGACTCAAAGCCCTCCAACTTTACTCTTTTTCAAAATTGCTTTGGGACTTCCCTGGTGGTGCAGTGGTTAAGAATCCTCCTGCTGGGCTTCCCTGGTGGCACAGTGGTTGAGAGTCCGCCTGCCGATGCAGGGGACACGGGTTCGTGCCCTGGTCCGGGAAGATCCCACATGCCGCGGAGCGGCTGTGCCCGTGAGCCATGGCCATTGAGCCTGCGCATCTGGAGCGTGTGCTCCACAACAGGAGAGGCCACAACAGTGAGAGGCCCGTGTACCGCAAAAAAAAAAAAAAAAATCCCCCTGC